TATATAAATTATTTCTTTTTCCGAGGAATTTAACTTTTTGTCCTCTACAAGAATATCTTATTCAATTTGCCCAAACTTAGTGCATCTATAACATAAAGGTTAACCACCTTTTTTTATACTTTCTGCAGATTATGTTTTATGTTTAATGTTGTTTATTGTTTATGGCCATTAGTTTTGTCCATTGTTTGAGGTCCTATATACACATTTACCAATTTTAGAAAGTGCTAAGCTTATGTTTCAATTTTCCAATAATTAGCAGTGTTTGGTACTGGACTGGAATGGTTGCTAGTTAAGAGATCCCTTCACATGTAGCTAAAGAAATTACTGTATAATCAGACTGAAAGATTTCTTCATCTGTTGGTAAGAATAGATATTATAGTGATCAAAGAAAGGACAGCACAAGTAGTGGTGAGGCCTCAGTCCCTAACATGGAGCAGGGATGCCATAACAATGAATAGGTTTGTAGGCATAGTTTCAGTTTCACAAAACCATATGGTACTACGTGAATATTGCCTGATATGGATAGATCAATAATAAATAAGACACCTCATTTATGATATTTCCTTCACAAATGGATAATAAGAAGGTTGTGCAACACATAATATGCTGGTGTACATTTACAGGAAAATCTAATGACACTATCATAAAAAAAGAAAAAACTACATTATGTGATACATGAAATAATCAATTCAGGCTAAGAGTAATATCAGAAAACAAGAAGATACATCATGGCAAATGCTGTGCGGATTAGTAAGACCATGGCGATTGGGTGTGGATCCAGTATAAAGTCGCCAATAGGATGGAAGGGTGAAGTACCCAAGTTAGGAAAGTTTTTGGATCCCCAGAAGTTGCTGGAGTAATAGGGTCTTTGAGAGGGGTCACTTTGTAAACAATATTTTCATTTATATCATTTGCAAGCGAAAACAGATTCATGTGTATTACACAGTGGTAGGAATGATAATTGCACTGTTAGATGGCTGAGTGAAACTAAAAGATTATCGATTGTGTACTATGATAATTATTTATCTTATCTAATACTTTAATAGGTGTTCTTCATGGCCATGTTCATGATGGAGTTTTCTCAATCTTTATAAGATTATATACAGTATCCCAGATATATATTAGAAGTACTAAGAAGATAGACATGTTTTTTTTTTCTGCCTATAAAACAAGTTGAAATGACACTTATTGTCATATAGATTGCTCTGTATATTAAGATGACTGATAATCCTGTAGTGACAAGGAGTGCTTTGGTTTCTGTTCCTCTGGGCAAAGGCCAACAAACTGCCATATATACCTAACCCTCTGCTATTACACCTGATTGATTACACATGAAAATTTGCAATAGCAGAACAAAGATTAATGGGAGGATTTGTAGTTGGTCCTCAGTCAGATGATCTACCTGCATATCTTTCCAGATATTGCTTTTTTCCTTTGGACTTTGAATATATTATTAACGCCTTCAAGGTTTCTACAATATTTAGATAGATTTTATAGGATAATATGTTCTCTTATGTTGTCAGAAATATAATTTTGTATGGATTTTTGTCAATTTTTTTTTTTGTTTTGAAGGTGGTATTTATGTCACAGAATATGTAAAGATGAGGAGGGGCAGGAGGAAAGCAGTAGTAGGAGGAACAGTGTCAACAACAACTAAAGTATTAGATAAACCAGGTAAGTCATGAGGGTTATTGCAACTTTGGTTTAGTGTCATAATAGATAGTGACAATTTTTGGTATATATGGAAATATAAATTTATTTGAAAGTACCTTTTTGGGAGCAGGAAGAAGAACAAGAAGTCAGTCTCTGAAGGAGAACCAGGAAATTGAGATTCTTCCTGTAGATTCTGAAGCATGTGACAGATCTTTACCACAGAAAAGTGAAGTGAGCACAGGATTCACCAGAGAAGGATCACATGATTCTGCTATCTCTTCAAACAGCTCAAAGTGGTCTGTATCTAGCAGTATCTCTATAATGAGCTGTGAATCAACAAGAACTTTGGCCAAGAAAAAGTCATCAATTTTGAATGTTGTGGAAGAGGAGCATAGCACCATAACAAAGGGGGAAGTTAGTGATGCTACTCTTACGTGGATTAACAGCATATCTCCAGAGCGAATCAGATCAGCAATGCCAGTTGTTCGAACTGGAGCAGTGACAAATGGCTATATTGTCAGACAGTCTGTTAGTCGCTCAGTTGATGGCTCAGAGACTGATAGCGGCTGTGACACAAAGATGGCAGATGATTTTCTCTTCAGTCATTATGGATTGGAAGTATTAATTCATCTTAGTACATTTTTAATCACAGCATCCACCGTATCTACAAAAGTATATCTGAGAGTAAGTAAAAAAGAAATTGACATCTACCCTTCTGATGTCAAAAATACTAGTAATTATAGGATCATAAGACTTCATGTTCTGAATTCTTCTAGACATTTGACTTATGAAACAGCTAAGAAAAAACAAAATTGAGCTAACAGTGGTGCATGAGACATCCCCTGTAAACATTTTTAATTTGATTTTTTATATTTTCAGTCAGCTCTAAAGGAAGAAAGTATATTAACTAACAAGAATCCATTACTGTTGCAAATAATGGTCTACCTTACCATTGGGATTATGTCTGACCTGATGTCACCTACGGTAGCTCTACTTTCAACTCATTTAACTGCTCTAGGAGTATGCCTGCTAAACTGTTTGAATCTAAGCCATATCTTGATGTCATACTTGCCATTTTTAAACTCAGGATATTTAGGTAAGATCACATATTTGCAGTGTAGCATGAAATGTTATGCTGTTAAAGAGGTTTATTTTCTCACAATAATGGTATTTTGCTGAAATGAAGTGTCATTTGATTTCACAGAAAGTTTTATAGTTTAAAAATGATTGTTACTCTTGTTCTTACTCAAATGCTTACAGGATCTCAGGTGATAGCAGCATCTTACAGACAGGATTTTGGTCTGGAGAGCATGCTGGCACGGGTTGGACTGGTTTATGGTTTAGCCAGTTCTGTATGTCCCCAAATCATAGTCATTTCCACTGAGTATCTAGGGTAAGTGATATTTGAGGAAAAAAATTACTGTGCTGAGGTGTTTAGGACTCCCCTTAACCAAAGTCAGATATGAATATATACTTTTTTTCAAGTATTGTATGGTGAAAACAATAAGCAAGTCACTGAAATGCTGACATTAGATTAATATTGAATGTATAATTGCCCTCTTATGGTCCAAGACATAAGATAAGAGATAAGAAAAATTGAAAACAGAATTTATTTTATTCCCCCCAAAATAAGGAAAAAGGTACCATGAGTAAAAGCAGACAGAGAGATTAGTATATTCAGTGTTTTCCTTCCTCAACTGGATACCAGGAATCTGCTCCTCCTCTCCCTGCTTGCCTGTATTTCTCTCTAACTTATATGTGGGAAGGCTTATATTCCATGATTGGTTCTTTTGTCATATACCAATAACTTTATCTCCATCTGTGGTATTGCATAAGATTATATTACTCTGCCACTGAATACCTTCTCTTGCTAGTAACAATGCTATGACACTGAATGCTCCATTCCATACCTTATAGCAGGGTTGCGTTTCTATATGGTTACAACTTCGACTATTTTTTTGCATCTTGATAACACCCTTTATCCTCTCTTAGTTATAATGATAGCTTTTATAACATTTTCACCTCTTTATCAGGGCCACCCTTAACTACATGGTAGTTTCCCTTGCCAGCCTCCTGAGTATATCAGCAGGGTGTAGACTCAGAGCTTGTATCTGTAAGTACTCAACTAAACAGCTATTTTTTTGTTAAGCTTATTCTTTTCTGTATCCTGGAGAATACAATGATGTCATGTTAATATTTATACAAACCTAAAGCTAGTGACCATTTGGTGACTTTGGAAGGGAAATTATAGCTCTTTTCATGTGAGAGACAAAAATAAGAAATTGCTAGGGTACTTTAGTGTAGAATGTGAAGCATATTGAATTAAATGAAATTAAATTAAAGAATAAAAAAAAGAAAGAAAAAAAGGAAAAAATAAAAACAGATAAAGGCCTATTAAAAACAATTCAGGTTTTTTATCAGTGCCCACATATGAAAATTGCTGCTGCATCAATTTTTTTCCCCCCCAAAAAATGTTTGACGAAAATGCACCAAAAGAGCCAGCCATTCACAAAATGTGTTTGTGTTCACTCGAGCAAAACACATTGTGCATTGCACAACAAAATCAAGTGAACAGTTGACCTGACAAAACATTTCACAAAGCATTGTGTGGCAGACAGGGCAAGAGTTGGAAGTAGTTTGCTTTGCCTTGTGGCCTGTGTGCAAACAAGTATATCTGTCTGAACTGCAACACATTTCAATTTACCTTTCTGTCTTTGTTAAACACTAAAAAGAAAAATATGTACCTGTGGCACCAATGGGTTTTGTCCTAAAAAACTCAAATGCACTATGTATCCCTCAATTATTACCTTTATTTCCATTAAGAATTACATTTTTGTATATGTAAAGTAGTCCATTTTGTTGATACTACCTATGAAAAGTAATCTTATTTGGCCTTGATGGAAAAAAAAACAAATAAAACATGCTGCATTTGAATTTTGAAAAAGTTCTGATGAGAAACTGGGAATTAAGAAATGTTATATTATTTGAAGTAGGGAAAGTTACTTAGTCTTTACACTCCTTGGTAAGATATTTCCTTGCAAAGTGTCATATCTTTTTTATGTTGTGGAATATTTCTGAAAGAAAGCTATATTATTATTTATATATAAACATCTATTTTTCCTTGTAAGAGTTATGCATTTCTTTGAATTTGCCATTTAATTAATTTCATTTTAAGCCATTGCCGCCGGGGATGGCATGTGTGTACTTGCTATGCTCACTGTGTGTTTAATTTAGTAAATGTTTTAACGTAAAGATATGAGTCAGTTAGGAGAACTACCTGTCTCACTTGTTTACCCTTTTCCTTGATTTTCGATAATATTTTTTAGTATCCAATACTGCTGTTAGTAATGTCAATAACGATATAGTAATTATAATGTTTGTAACAAAAATAACAGGGTCGATATTGACATCATTAGTAAAAAAAAAAAACATTTTCCCGCTATTTCAAGGAAAGGTGAGGTCGCAAGATCTACTAGTTGACTCCTTTGTGGGTAAGCACTGGCAGAGCCATCTATGTGTAAAAACATTTAACAAAACGATAAGAAAGTGAATAAAACAATTTTCCGTTGGCATTGGGTTAATTGATTTGATCAGTATTAATATGTATAATATTTCATAATCAAGACTATTATTGAACTGTGATGTAATGATACATGTAAAATACTTACTTATCCTTGTTTTCACAATCATGGACTGATAGTTGTAGGGAGTTCTGTTTAAATGTATTTTTATCTTGATAAATAATGTGTTAAGTCTACAAGTGGTTTTGTCCTTTTATAGATATAGCAGATTGAGTGGAGTTTTGCAAAAAACAAGAACCAAAAGATAATGTTATCATTGTTGTATCTGTTTTGTGTTTAAAAGTGATTATTACTATTATCAAACCGTTGGTGCTGGGTACATGTGGTGTTCACTGTAGTTTTGTTTTGTAAATTTTGTGTACACATGGATGACTCCACAAAACCTTAGTCACTGAAAAGTCAATTAGCAGACTTACATAACCTTCCTTGAATTTTCAGCATTTTTTTCTACTACTGTTTTTACCATTATTGTTGTAGTTGTTTTTACTATTGTCATTATTATTATCATTGATGTTATTATTATTAATAATAATGATATTATTTTTATTGTTATTATTATTATTATTATTATTATTATTATTATTATTATTATTATTATTATTATTATTATTATCATATTATTATTATTATTATTACTATTACTATTACTATTACTATTATTGTTAATATTACTGCTGCAGTTATTATATGTAAATCCTAATGATGACAATAATCATTATAACCATCATCATCATGTCAGTAATAATATTTTATATAATTATGATAATATTGATAATGATAATGATAATAAAGATTATAATAGTATTGATGATGATAATGATGATAAAGATTATAATAGTAATGATAATGATAATGGTTATGATAATGATAATGATGATCATAATCATGATAGCAGTAGTAGTTATGATTATGAGTATGATAATGATAATGATAAAAAATATATGTGGACCCAAACTAAATTTAAAAGACAAGATCACAGTGCAAAGGGCATGTATGTAAGACTCTTGCAGCATCAATGATTTATCATGTGTTGTGTTCAGATTATTGCATGGCTTATGGTAATCAGCGAGGAAAGGTCCAAATAGTAAAGAAAATTAATTATATATTATTTTCTCATGTTGACATGATATTACATAATATTCAACAGTTTTTTTTTCAGGCAGTAGGTATTATAAGTTAATGCTGAATGATATACAATGACTAATTTGGAAATACATTTTTTTACCCATTTTCTATATTAGATATATTCATCAGAATATTTGTTAGACTTTGTTAGTATTTCAAAATATATATTAGATTCAGTAGTTTGACATAATTATAAGTTTTTATTCAATTTTCTTTCCTCAGACCAAAGACCTTCATCCAGAACTGACATTGGATGGCTTTGTTTTCTTGGATTTTTATTAATGAAAGTTTTCCTGACTATTCCACTAGCCATTATGCTTCCTCTCTTTCAAGGTGAGCTGTGTAATTCTAGATCATTATTTTTGTATATGTGAGTTGGTCCTTTATCCAATGGTCCCCTATCCACCTTAAAATGATTTGACTAGTCTTATTACATTAAAAATAGTAATGGTCTAGATGTCTTCCATTAAAAAAAAAAAAAAAAATTTATATAAAACTACACAGTTTCGGAGAGCTGTGGCATTGATTCGAATCAATATAAAAACCCCAGGCAAAATCACATCCCTACCATTGTCTTTCTGAATAAAATGAGGTCAGTCCTTACTTCATCAGTCAATTATTATGGATTGAGCAGGAAGACTTGGCTTTTCACTATTTCCTTTGTTTCTAATTTTTGACAAAAGCTTGTAAACAAATGTATAAATTAAAAAGCAACCTTTGAGATAACCATCAAGTAAGAATAAAAAAAGTAAGGAGCAGATATTGTTGCTTTAGAAACACCTTTGCTGCAAGCATAGCCTCAGAAACATTTGTAATCTTAAAAGAAAGGTGACATTGCCAATGCAGTAAAACAATAAAAATATGGTATGAATATTCATGTTCATTGTTCCAGATTATTACATATAGAAATTTGAGTGTGTATACTTTTATAAAGTTCTCATTATTATGTATAGGAAGGGGACCCTAAAGTCTATCTTTTTATTTATATATTTTAATAATTAGTGATTTTTCATCACTTTCCTGGTCTGAAACTTAATTTTTAAAAAGTGATGCATTAGTTTTTTAGTTATAAAGAGTTTTTGTTATAGAATTGAATAATAATAATAATGTAAGGAGAAAATGAAGGTATCGAGTAGCTTATCATCAAAAATATATTTATAAATTGTGTATTTAGAAGATCGTGATGTGTAACTAATCATAGAAAATATTATTGATTATTTATTTATTATTTAAAATACTACTTCTTTATTTCTGAATAGTAACAAATCATGTAGATTTTTTGTTGTATTGATGTTGGCCATTGATTTTAGTAGTGGATCAGGTGTTCATGTCATGTTCATGAACTGTCATGTGAAGTGCATAAAACTTGTGTGGAAAATAAGGATCAAGTAGTTGCTGTAGAAGAGGAAGTATGTAGTTTGTCAAATATTCATATTACTGTGAGTAGAGGTGCTAAAATTAATTAAAGCTTTTATACTGATCTGTGGTGGTAGAATAGAATAGAATATTTCTGCTGTGACAAAAGACAGAAGACCGTGTTTTAAAAAATGTGTTTTTTAAAGGAATGATTCAAGATGGCAGTTTTATTGAGGGAGTCAGCTTGTCCATGATAGTAACAGTGGGACTCCTATGTATACAAGCTGTGGTGACTCCTGTGCTTTTGTTCTTCACCTCCCCAGCAACTGTCACTATCATTGTGGCTGCCGTCCTTACACTGATCTATCCAGCATTGGTATGTGGCAGTTTGATAATTATGGAAGTTGATTAAATGCTTATCATATAGTTGGAAGTATAAAATTTGAAGGGGTTACTGCAAAGAGAAATCCTAGCAAGTCCATCCATTAGGGATGGACTTACATTCCAGATTGCACTATTATATGACAAGGGCTCTGGATACTCAGTCTCAACAAAATAATCTAATTAAAAAAATGAATTGCAATGTTTTTTATAGATAGTGAAATTCCATAACTTTCAAATATTTCATATTCAGAATGGTACTAGACATGAAGGACGGAATATCCAAATATTTCCAGTATAGCTTTTTTTGATAATTCTGAATCTTAGGTATTTATACAATCTTGCCATAGTCTTGAGTGGCCAGGAAGTTGAGTGTAGATCATCTTTATTGGACATTGGGAATAGGGAGTAGAAAATAGAGAATATTGAATTTTGAATGAAGAAAAAATCAAACTATTAAGCTTGTATGGATCCAACTTCATTTGTAATAACAACATTATAAGCAAAGCATAAATAACAACATTTTAAGCAAAGCATCTACATCATTGTTTATTTGCATCCAGAGGACTTGTACAGCTTGACATTAATTTTCATTATGTATCCATTTACTTATTAAAAATAAGAAATGGTTGATTTTTTTCTGTTTTATATATGAGTTGGAATCACAAAATGTATATAGTCTATGCCTAAAGAAATTACACATTTACAACATTCACAAACCAGAGTCAGCATTATGATTTCAGATTTTTTTCTTTTCTTTCAGCTGATTATCTTTGAAGGTTTAAGCCAACATCTAATCATTCTTATGATTCCTCTTTGTGGGATGGTGAGTATAGCTCAGGTCATGATCCTGTCAGCTTCCATCAACTGCTTCCCCAGGTTGAAAGGCATTGTGTTGGCAGCCAACCTTTCAGTACACATCATGACCAGATATTTGGTTACTCAAGCAGCTGAATACTTGTCAGCCCTCTGCAGATTCAGTCAAGTAAATTTGGTTTCATTGTACTTTTCACAGTGGTCTGTACAAATTCTGAATTTTGTGAAAATGGAAAATCTTGTTCCAGATATTCATAGTGAAATGTTATCATGTGATGATATTCATTTAGAAACTTTGGCTTTGACAGGCTGTGTTTGTTCAGTCATTCTGCTAGTACTAAGTTTATCTTTGATGAGGCATTGACTTTGATGAAAATATATTTCTATATCCCTTTACAAAGGGATACATAAATTATTTGCCAATCTCATTCATGTTCTGTGATACTTTTAGCTTTTATTTGAAGACAGCTCTCTTTGGGTAAGTCCCCATGTGAAATCAAAATGGGGAGAAACTGCCTTGTACTGTGATTTTGTAACCAAATATTGTTTATGTGTAATTTTTCTTCCAGAATTATCAAAACTTTCCTAAAAAACAACAGAAGCTCAACACAGTTTCACTGTATATTGCACAAAATGTGATAGTTTTCTCTCTGCTTAGGATTAATGTTCTGTTTTGTGATTTTATAGTACAGTATATACTTGTCTTAAATAAATATATGGTTGTTTTTTACAAATCTGCTGCATATTTAAAGTTTAGTTTAAACCACTGTACACATGCATTACTTATCTCCATTGACTGCAGCTCTCTTTTCTAAATTGTTTTGCTATCTGTTGTTATATGTCCAGGATAATTTGTCACAAATGAATTACTGATACATTTTGGCCTCTGTTTTACAGATATTTGACTGTTTGATTATCATGGTGTCAAACAAATGAAATTACAAATTGCTATGAAACAAATATAAGAAAGTTAGGAATCTTGGATTATAGTTTGTTATGGTTATGTTTATCAGATGAGCCTCATAGCCTTATAGAGGATTTTTTCTCTCTCTTTTTAGTATCTGATTTCATATATTATTATATTAAAGATGGATGCAGAAAAGTAAAATATCTTTTATAGGTATGGAATTACTGCAGTAAATGTAGTGGAGTTTTCATTTATAAGCTTTGCTCTTTTCTTTTTGATATTGTAATCTTTATAACTCTTGTCGTTATACTGAAGCTGCTTGTCATTAGAGCTCCTTCTTACATGAATTGAATCAAATTTATATATTCATAAAAATGTAGTTTCCTGGTTGAGAACTTATATGTATGGACTGGCCTTAGAGTTCACATTGAAAATATTTTGTATTTAAGGGGACCATCATGCAGAATTAGGTTCGGATAGTCATGACTGGGTTGGGACTCATTTTGAATATTTGTAGATTTAAGCAGTTGCTAACTTACTGGTGTCCCTTAAGGTGGGGATAAATTTCCAAAAAATGTCATAAGGTTATGTCTTACAGATTTTCTTTGTGTTTTTATGGGTTCATGCTCACAGTATGAAAAATGAAATCAGTAAAATCTTTCTGTATATGTAACCGTCAAATCTGATTTCATCTTGGTACCCACTTCAGCCATTTTGTGGGATTTTTTTGTACAAGAAATATACCTTAACCCATTAGTGCCTGTTATATGCACTATCCACTGTGGCTTTGTTTTGTAAATTATGTTTGCAAATAGATACCTCCACAAGTGCTTAGTTAACAGGGAGTCAATTGGTAAGACTACTTTGTGATTTTTTTTTTTTTTTTATTACTGTTGTTATTATTGTTCTTCACAATTTTTATGATATTGATAACAATACTAATAGCAGTAAAAAAAACATGCTTTTGAAAATCATGGAAGAGGCAAACATGTGAGACTAGGAGTAACTGGTAAGTGACTCATTGTCACTTCTGGAACCATCTAAATTTAAACTAAATTAATAAGCTAAAAACAAAGTGGGTTGGGTGTGTCTGTACTTTTCATCTGAGCATCAGTGGGTTACAAATAATTATTAAACAAGGGCTGGTACCCACAGATAGCAAAACCCAAAAAGCTAGTATCAAAGGATCCACAATAATAAGATGTACCATCAATAATCATGAATTCTATAAGGCTATAAGGCAACAGTATGATGGTTCCCTTATTATGATTTTGGTTATTATGCAATGATTAGAATTTTCTTTCATTCTGTATTAGGAGGTTTTATACCATGACAGTTTGATTGTTGATAAAATGGAATAGTGCATTTTGAATATCATTAATAAAGGAATGTGTTGTGTAGGCAGTGATACTAATCACCATTACCCTAAACATGCATTTAATGTGAATAATTTTGTTCACAAAATAGCATCATATTCTTTATGAAGAATTGCTTCATAAGTCATTATAGGGCTATTATTGGAAATAGATTTATATTAGATTTAAAAAAAGTTATATGTGACTTTGCAAAGAGAGAATAATAATTAATGTTTATCCCTGTGTATGTTACTTAAATAAGTTTTGTGAACTTTGATGCAGTCTTATTTTCTGTTTCATGGTCAGGAATCAAATTCATATATAAACATGCAGTGACATCTTGTCTTGATATGGTCAGTATTTTTTCTTAATATTAGGACATTTAATGGAAAATAATGTTGGAAAATGTATTCATTATTCTGATATTTAAGAATAAACTCAATGAGAAAAAAGTCAATTTTGTGCAACAGCATCATCATAGAGGAGGGGAGTAGGGAGTCATGGGCCACATTATTTCAGTGGAGCCACACATCATATTCACTGTCATGGGCATACCCAGGAGAGAGGAGTAACTGTGTCCTCCCTCCCTATATTTCAGGGTGGACTTCCCCCTGCCCATGGAATTTATACGGCTGATGCCACTAAATTAGTTTCATATATTATTTACTGATTGATTGTTTTTTTTTTTTTTTTTTTTTTTTTTTTTTTTTTTTTTACTTGTCTCCAGACATCACAAATATAGGACGGGTTTTTGTGTATCCAAAGCCTTAGGAACATTCTTAGAACCGTTTGCTTACTTCTATTATTTTACAGATAAATGATATACCAACAGAGGTTTTACACCAGGTAGGAAGGATACTTTTCTCACAAAATGTATAGTAAAGTAAGGTTTTCTGCTCTTTTGTATAAAATAGTAAAATGTTTATTCTTTTATAGGTGTGTGTTTGTTTTTGTCTGTTTTTTTGTTTTTTTTTTACAATTTTTACCATTTCCTTGTCACTCAGAGTTTCATTTCAAATGTTTAATCAAAAATTGATTAAATACTTTTGTATTAACATAATTTCTAAATTAATAAAATTATGAAATTTTAATGTGTTGTTTTGCTCAGTTTTATCCTCTCAATCCCATGGCTCTTGTCATGGGGGGCCTTTGGATACAGAGATTAAGGACCTATGTTGGGCCCTCAATACCTTGGGACAGACTTGGCTATTTCTTCTTCCCTTTTCTCTTTCCTTCTCTTCTTGAACCCTTCTACAATCCACATCCACCTGAAGCAGGGGGGCACTGTTTCTCTCCCTGTCATCTCCCAGGCTTACATGGCCAGTA